CCATCTCTCCAGCCCCCTTTCTCTCTCTTATTGGAGGAAAAGTTTTCTCTGTGTATCTTAGGCTAGCCTGGAACTCATGAGCCTCCTGTCTCTGCCTCCCAAGTGCTGGGAATATACATGTGAGTGACCGCATCTGGCAACAGAATTTTATAAGCACCTGTCTGGAACATATAAAATTATTTGTTTTTGCTGGGCATGGTGGCACACGCCTGTAGTCCCAGCACTTGGGAGGCAGAGGCAGGAAGATCTCTGTAAGTTCAAGGCCAGCCTAGTCTACATAGTGAGTTCCAGGACAGCTTGGGCTACAGGGAGATCCTATCTCAAAAAGACCAAAAAAAAAAAAATTGTTTTTGAGACATGGTCTCATGTAGCCCAGGTTTGCCTTGAGCTTGCTACGTAGCCAAAGCGAACCTTGAACTCCTGATACCTTCCTGTCTCTACCTCCTGAGTGCTGAGATTATAGGTAGGTGCCACAATGCCTAGTTTATGTAGCACTGGGGATGGAATCCAGGGCTTTGTGCAGGCTAGGCAAGCACTTTACCAACTGAGCTATATCCCCAGACCCACATTTGATTATTTTGAGGTGGACAGTTTTACCGTTACCATAATGAGCTGACATCAAGACAGTGACAAAGTTTCAAGCTCCATCACACCTGCCTCTGCCTCCTGGGTGCTGGGGTTAAAGACGTATGCTACCACACCTGGCTTTGATTAAAAAAAAAAAATTAAGTGTATGAGTGTTTTGTCTGTCTGTAGGTAAGTGCACCACCTGCCTGCAATGCCCACAGAGACCAGAAGAAGGCGTCAGATTACCCTGGAACTGGATTCACAGCTGGTTGTTAGCCAGCATGTGGGTACTGGGAACTGAACCTGGGTCCTCTGAAAGAGCAACAAGTGCTCTTAACCACTGAGCCATCTCTCTAGCCCCTGAAAGCATTGCTTCATAAATTTATTCAACAGCCAGGTTTGGTGACACATTGCTTTAAATCCCAGGACTTGGGAGGTAGAGGCAAGCTGATCTCTGTGAGTCTGAGGCCAGCCTGGTCTACACAGTGAGATTCTGTCTCCAAAAAAGAGGATAAATTTATTCAATAAACTTTTAACTGAACATCTACTGTTCCAGGCCCTGAGATTTAAAAAAAAAAAAAAAAGCAATAAATTGATAGATTCCATTGCTGCTCTGGTGCTTCTCAGAAGTTTGGTGGAGAAAGGCATTCATTCAGTACAGTAACTACTAATGCAATATGTATGTGCAGAATTCACTCACCAACAAACAAGGAATAGGGACTGGAGAGATGTCTCAGCAGTTAAAGGCACTGGCTGCTCTTGCAGAGGACCAGAGTTAGGGTTCCCAGCACCCATGTGGGGGCTTACGATTGTCTATAACTACAGTTCCAGGGGATCTAACACCCTTTGGCCTCTGCAGGCACTTCATGTATATGGTGCACTTACATAGATGCAGGCAAAATGCTTAAATGAAACATTAAAAAACCCCATGGAATAGGACCTAACTGATATGTGCTAGGGACTGTGCTGAGAATAGAAGAATAAAAATCATGATGGTGCCCAGGTGTGGTGGTGCACCCCTTTGATCCCAGCACTTAGGAGGCAGAGGCAGGTGAATCTCTGAGTTCAAGGCCAGCCTGGTCTACATAGTGAGTTCCAGGTCAGCTAGGCCTACAGGGAGACCCTGTCTCAAAAAGACCAAAAAAAAAAAAAAAAATTTCATGATTAGTTACACCAAAATTGTTCACAATCTATGTAAATGGAAGTTATCATTTTGGAGAAAACTGCTCCCGTAGAGGAAGGTATTATTGTGGGGGTGGGGAGCAGGGGGGTTTGAAGGGAGGAGGGCTGGATAGCTTTAGCGTCAACTTGACACACCTGGGTCGAGGGAGCCTCAATAGGGGAATTGCCTTCATTGGACTGGCCTGTGGCCATGTCCATGGGGCTTCTTGATTGTTGAATGATGTGGGAGGGCCCAGCCCACTGTGGGTGGTGCCACCCCTGGGCAGGTGGGCCTGTGTTGCATAAGAAAGCAGGCAGAGCAGGGGCCAAGGGAGCAAGCCAGTAAGCAGCATTCCTCCATGGCCTGTGCTCCAGCTCCTGCCTCCAGGTTCCTTCCCTGATGAACTGTGACCTGGAGATGTAAGTCCAATAAACCCTTTCCTCCCCAAGTTGGTAGTGGTCAGAGTGTTTTGTCACAGCAATGGAGAAATAAACTAGGACAGACAGGGTTCCGAAAAGCCTCAGGGAAGAAAGGCAGAAAGGGTGGGTGAGCAGGAGTGGCCATCTTAGTCGTGTGGAGGAGCGCTAGAAAGGCCTCATTGTCACCTAAGTCTAGCCTCCTTGTGGCTGTTTCCTCTTGTGAGTCCACTACCTGACTCTCTGCCACTGGGCATGACTTGACTTAGGTCTTTCTACCACTCCATGTCCTCTTCGGCAGTTCCTCCCAGATAGGATGCTCTGCTGGTAATCAGATTTTCCTCTGTGTATGTGTGTGTGTGCATGTGTGTGTGTGCATGCACGTGTGTGAATGTGGGCCCATGTGGGCCATGGTGTATTTTTAGTGTCAGGGGACAATCTCAAGTGTCTGTCCTCACTTTTCATCTTGTTTAAAACAGGGTCTCTTTTGTTTTTCCATTAGGGAAATGGGCCTGTGAGCTTCTGGGGACACCCCCCACCCCCATCTTTACTACCCATCCACATCTCGCTGTAGAAAAGTCCTGGAATTGGACTGGCGAGATGGCTTAGCATTTAAGAGCACTTGTCGCTCTTGCAGAGGACCCAGGATTGGTTCCCAGTACCCACACGATGACTAATAACCATCCAGAACTCCAGTTCCAGGGGAATCTAACACCCTTTTCTGACCTCTGTGGGTATTGCAGGTTACAGATGCACTTACATGCAGGCAATACACTCATACACACAAAAATAAAAATAATAAATACATTAAAAAAAAAAAACGGCCGGGCATGGTGGTACACGCTTTTAATAATCCTAGCACTTGGGAGGCAGAGACAGGAGGATCTCTATGAGTTCGAGGCCAGCCTGGTCTACATAGTGAGTTCCAGGCCAGCTGGGACTACAGGGAGACCCTGTCTCAAAAAGACCAAAAAACAAAACAAAACAAAAAGAAGTCCTAGAATTACAGATCCCTGTGCTATACACTTGGCTTTTACATGGGTTCTGGGGATTCGAACGCAGGTCCTCATTCTTGTGAGGCAAATGCTTTTACTCACTGAGCCATCTTCCCAGCTCTACTCAGCAGATTCTGAGATACTATGGCTTCTCAGCACAGAAGGCCTAATATTCATCTGTGCTATGGGAGTCAAACACACACAAATAGACAACACAGCTCAAAGAACAATATGACTGACGTTCAGTTTGCCTCTGAGAAAATACTCCAAATTCGCCACGCTTGCCCTTTCCCCTTCCTCTTCCTATGCTTTCACTGCTCTTCGTCCTCAAATGTCCTCCTCAGCGCCATTCAATCTTTCAAAACTTTCCCTTCTCCAAGGCTCCATTCAAACACTACCTTGTGGCCTGACCCCTCCTGTTGACCACAGAATCTTCCTTCTCTTAGCCATGATAGGAAAAGGGAAGGGAATCACATCTTTGGAATGTCACCATATGCCATTTGGGAGCATATTTTACCTCTCTGTGGTTTCATGTTTTATTTTGAAACAATCATTACCCATCTCATAGTTGGCATGGTGGCTTACACCTGTAATTCCTGCACTCGGAAGGCTTAAAGGGGAAAGCAAGTTTGAGACTAACTTGAAATGCATAACAGACACTGTTTCAAAAAGGAAAAGAGCTGGATGTGGTGGTACATGTCTTAAATCTCAGCAGAGGCAGGAGGATCTCTGTGAGTTCCAGACCAGTCTGAGGAATATACTAAAACCTTCTTTCAAAAAAACTGAAAAGCCAGGTGTGGTAGTACACGCCTGTAGTCCCAGCACTTGGGAGGCAGAGGCAGGTGGATCTCTGTGAGTTCAAGGCCAGCCTGGTGACTCCAGGACAGCTGGGGCTACAGGGAGACCCTGTCTCAAAAAGACTGCAAAAAAAAAAAAAAAAAAAAAAAACCTGAAAAAAAGGTGTTAACAGCCCACTTCTACCATGTAGTCACGCAGAATATCAGACAGCCTGGTATGTAGCAGGCTTTGAACTCTCATGGTTATTTTGAGAATTAAATGGCATGACATATAGAAAGTGGCTGAGTCTGGAGAGGTGGCTCAGTGGTTAAGAGCATTGGCTGCTCTTAAGCCTGGGTTCAGTTTCCAGCACCCACATGGTGGCTAACATCCATCTATAACACCAGTTCCAGAGGCTCCAACACTGTCTTCAGGCCTCCATGGGCACTGCACGCACTTGGTGCACTTACATACACGTATACATTCATATACATAAAATTTTTTTTAATTTTATTTTTTTAAAAAGAAAGTGGCTGGCACACTGGGGTACTCAATAAATGAAAACTTAATACCATCAACATCCAATTTAATTTCTTATAAGAAAGACGTTCCCCAGGATGATTCTTTTTTTCTTTTCTCTTTTTTTTTTTTTTTTTTTTTTTTTTGAGACAGTGTCTCCCTATGTAGCCCAAGCTAGTCTAGAACTCGAGATTCTCCTGCCTCAAGCTAAGTGCTGGGGATACAGGTGTTTACCACCACACTGGGCTCCTTCCTTCTCTTTTTCCTTTCTGGGTGCTAGACCTCTAACTCAGGTCTTGTGCCTAGTAGGCAAGCGTCCTACCACTGAGCAGCAGCCTTATCCCAGAGGGGAGACTTCAGTTCAGATGAAAGACTGAAGACCTGCTGCAGCAGTGTGTAGTGGTGATTCAGATGAATGTGACTGTGGTTTCTGGAGTAACCTGCTGACTGGAACTGAACCGGCCTCTTCATCTAGGCCCCTCAGTAACAGGCTCTTTGTGACTGAGGGAAGACTGTAGAGTGTAGCTCTCACTGTCACCTTTGGTGGGCTGGGGGCCTCCCTACCTTCATACTGGACTTCCAGGTGCATTGTGCCCAGGACCTTCAGCACACAGTCCACGATGCTGGGGTGACTTGCTCCAATGATTGACTGACAAGACAGGTAAGAGGACAAAATGGTTTGTTCTGTAGACCTAGAAGAAGTGAAATGTGGACGTCTAGACAGCCAGGCTGTGGAGGGAATGGGGGGATGGGGAGGAAGGACCATGGTGAATGGTTGGGCTGAGCCAGGCCTCTGCCATAAGGAGTAGGGGCAGAGATGCACTGCAAGGAGGTAGCGAACCTGCTCAGTTTGTCACTAGTCTCTAGCTCAGGATACATTGAGCCAAGCCTCCTGGCCACCTGTTAGACATGCAGGAACAAGGTCTGTGACTTTGGCTCGGGGAGGGCAGACACAGGAGGGAGGGAAACATTCATCTAAGATCCTGAAATCTTCTCAGGAAGCTCACCTTTTAGTCAGCATGCCTTTTTACCTCTTCAAACTTCTCCCACACTTCCTCCATCAGCTACTGAGGGCTGAAAGGCGGCATAAACCAAGGTCTACCCAAGTGACTGGCATGTAGGAGGCACCAGGTGGGAACCAGAGACACTAAGGATCCTCAGATCTGTGCTGCCATGGCCTCCTGCCCAGATGTCTCTCTGGAAGGCTCCCATCTCCTCCCCTCCTCTCCCCTCCCCTCCTTTCCCCTCCCCTCCCCTCCCCTTCTGACTTGGTGCCTGGGAGCTTATTTACTTTAATTTCATCTCTTATTTCTCTGCTTGTGAAATCCAAACTGACATCATCTTGGGCCTTTTTCTGGAGCTTCAGTCTTTTATTTTCCACTGCTCAGTGGGCATCTTCTAGCTGTTCTGGGCAGTGGTTCCTAAACTAAGCAAGGAATCAGAACTACTTGGGCATTTAAAAGGCCATGCATTACCAAGATTCACTTGAGAACTGTAAATAGCTCTTTGGGCAGGAGGTTCT